AAAAAAAAAAAAAAAAAAAAAAAAAAAAAAAAAAAAAAAAAAAAAAAAAAAAAAAAAAAAATCTTCAAGTTTCAATAAATTGATAAATTAATACCAATACTTACAAATACTTACAAAACGAAAATACAATACGTATAAAAGTTGTGGAAATGCCTTTTATTCATTTATATCTCGTGCGGGTCGTAAACTTAAAACTAAAGTACGATGCAAATTTTTGTGCGTGAACCGCATTTTATCAGGTATCTATTCTGCTACAATTACTCTTGGGAAGATTCCGCACCTCCCACCAGAATGAGCCAGGTTCAAATGAAAATTATTTTTTCAAAATTTCGAAATCGATTTTAGAAATCGATTTCCGAGTTTCTGCAAAGTCATAATTTTCACATGGAAATGTCGATCAATCCACTATAATGCAGAAGATATGCGGAATAATTGGACATCGCTGGGCTAGCGGCCCGTTCCTGCCACTTGCGGGCAGCAGTTGCTAGTAACTTAGTTTTCAAATTACTTTCGAGGCAAAAAAATCAATCCTAAATACTTAACAAGAGCGCAGAATTATCAGTGCCATCGCGTGCTTTGCGATATATCGATTGATCTGCAATTTAAACCTATGGAAAAGGATCGATACAGGGTGTTCGCAGCGAACACCTTAATAATCGATTCTTTATCATAGCTACAAATGAGGAACTATCGACAATCGATCATTCACGCCACGCCACTGAAAATTATATCATAAACAGGGAAAAATCTAAGGAAGAAACTTACCTCTATCTCATCTTCAGGTGCCTCAGAGATCACATCGGGGATAATTTTATGCTCTACACATATGTCTTTCATTTCATAATGGTTTTTATACGTATATTCTGTCGTTGCTACAATGAGACTGCATTTTAAAAATCCAATTGACCAGAATAGAGTGAAGGGCTGATAGATGTTTTGACTCTGCATTTTTTTCACTCCGGTGAAATATTACTTGTCTTAGCCGCATATAAATTTGTTGCTACGGCTCCTTAGGAGAAACTCTTAACTTTCTCAATTTTTCATTCTATTCCATGCACATTCCAGCCCGTGTTCGGTACAATACTAAAGTATCACATAACTGGCTGGAAAGTCAATGGGCAGATGGAGGAGTATAAGGAGAATAGGAGAGGTTAAATTATGAAATTAGATGAGTGATTGATAGCTTTCAGAGAAACTGTAGTGAGAGATGTAATCATCCATCTATTAGACATGGTAGTGTTTTTAAACTTGACTCATATTTAAAAGGTTCAGGACCAGATTTACCTACTTGCCGCCCATGGGCCGCCTGTATTTCGCCGCCCCCTTCTCATTCGTTTTGAAACATCAATAAAAACGAACAGAGAAGAGGTGCATTAAGACGTGTTTACTCGTGTTGGACACATTTTTTGCGAAATCCCTGTCAATACTACTACCAAAAATTCACGAAACTTCGCGCGAAAAAAAGTTCCGTAAACCTATCTCTGTGTGGACAAGGCCTTTTTTTATATGAAACTAGGGGGCTCCCTGGCCGCTACGCGACCCAACCCCCAGAAGAGGGCGCTTCGCGCTCTTTTAAGCTTGCTCTGACAAAAGAACGACCAAAAAAAATGAAAAGAGTTTTATACTCGACTCTCATTTGTCCGCAATCCTTCTCTTGCCGGAAGCGAATGAAGCGATTGAACCATTAAACATCGAATAAAAAAATCGGCATTTATTTGAAACCTCTCGCAAAGACTGAAACGAAACGGAACGAAGCGTTTCATCACTTTTGGATAGTCGGTGCCAAAGGAGCATACCCTCCATTCACCTACCTTACCCAACTAACCGACCAAGATTCAAAATTTCCCGCTTAGTTCAATTTTTCGCTACATCTGAAATTCCTGTCATTTTTTATTGGCGGGAATTTCAAATGTTGCCCCCCTTTTTAAGCTTTCTGGTCTTCTCTTATATCAAAAAACCTGGGACATATTTCCAAAATCTGATTGCAGCGGGCTCATCTAGGGTCTATTACCTGTCGATTACCGCAAAAATCATGAAAATCGGCCCAGTAGAACGCTCAAACGAACTATGACAAAAAATATAAATTTACATTGTTTAAATGGGAGAATTCGCAACTTTACCCCGTAAGTAAAAAAAAGCCGGGTCATATTTTGAGAATCTGAATAGAGCGGGCTCATTTAGAGACAATTGCCCGTCGATAACCGCAAACATCATGAAAATCGGCACGGTGGACCGCTGGAACTAAGCGTTACTAGTAAACGAAAAAATTGTAAAAAAACAAACATAAATGTGGTTTAATGATCTTAATCTCCGCCACCGCAGCGCGGTGTCACGCTGACCGCAATGTGTGTTTGGCGCAATGCATGATGTATTCCCACAGTCTTGCAGGCGCTATGCGTTTCACGTCGACCGTTGCTGATCGCACTGTTGAAATCGACGCAATGCGTGAAGTATTCATACAGTCTTGTAGGCGCTATGCGTTTCACACCAACAGCTGATAACTGCACTGTGTTTAACGCAATGTTTGAAGTATTTATGCAGTTATGTAGGCGCTAATATGTGTTACATGCCGACCGCTACGCCGAGGGCTTCTCCTTTCATCTCAATAAGTCCTTTGTCATCATTGCTCTCTGCGCTGCGCCTTTCCAGGCCAAATTGCGTGTTTCATTTCTCTCTTAACTGGACTAATTAAAGGTGCTATCTCTTGTATCACCAAAAGACGACAAAATTAGAAATTACTGTTTAGGTTCAGAGAACATCATCGGCAACTATTTTTCAATGTTGACGCAAGGAAAAAACATCAAATTCTCGTTTAAAGAGCATGACATTTTTACAATTGAACTTTTTCTCTTTTTGAGCTGAATATTTTTTGGACTGCATTTTGCAATGAGTAACTACTAATAACTGCCTCAGCCATAGAAACACATATATTATTGCGTAGAGAAAGTAAAGCCACATCTAGTAATTTTAAAATGACCTAAAATGGTAGTTACTTATTGCAAAATGTAGTGCATGTATTAAGTAATGACTTCAGGGACTCATCTCTGAAGTCATCGCTTTTATTTTCTTCTGTTTCACTCTTGAGAACCGGCGAATCACACAAAGGCAAGAGGAGGGTAAAAAAATTTATTCAGACTAAGAATATAGGCATTTTTTCAAGAATAATCAGTCTTTGGAGTTTTTAACAGCAGCTCCTGGAGTGTTTTTTTTTTAAAAGTGTGTAGTCTTTCAAATGAGCACCTTTACGCAAAAGAAATCTCTTCACATCGTCGAGGATAAACTTCTTTTGCGTAAATACGTCAAATTGTCACCTCACAATTTCTTTTGATTACATGAGACCGTCTCAAGAAAAATTTACCCTGTAGGAGACAAAAACTCATGGCTATGCGATGCATACTGGAGCAAAGAGTAGTGTTCTGCTACAATTATTTGAGGGCAAAAAACGCATAAAATGTCAAAACCACGCCGAAGTTATGACTGCTAGAAGTTTCTATTTCAGAAAACGTGGTTCCGAGATGAAGCTACGAAATATTTTAATCTGTCACGTGTAGGACACAGAGTTGCCAAATTACATTGTAGTGCGCCTGCATTTTTTTAAAAAAAAAACTGCAGCGTTGCAATATCCATCCCATGCGAGACAGAAGAGAGTCTTCCGTCAACATCTGAAAAAACAATTTTCCATTCCACATATGATCCATTTCTATACATCCATACATCCACAATCGACATAAATCGCTTTGCTAAAAATTTTGCTTCTAAAACTTGCTCGGTTTCCCCGTAGACGATCACCTTATATTATCTCCAATTATACATACATTCCAGTCGCTTTACAGCGCGCTCGGGCGCTCTGCGACACCTAATCGCCATCCTTGCCTATCGATCCAGAGGTCATCTGGTATAGATGGCATCTTGTGATTTCATCTTGAATGCCACCAATCCACGATTTTGCTGGGCGTCCCCTACGTCTTCTCCCAGGAGGAACCCAATCTAGCACCTTCTTAGACAACCTATCATCCGCCATTCGTTGAACATGACTATACCAGACAAGCTGTTTGGTCATAATTTCATGCACGATGTTCTGCTCGGCGTTCATGATCTCACGGACTCTTTAATTCCTTACGTGATCTCTCCTCGAGATTCCGGCTGATCTTCGCCAGAAATCCATCTCAGTTGCCATCTCCAATTATTAATTTTTAAATTTGAGGCAAGGATTGTCTGATGTTTGAATTTTAGCACCAATCAGGACACGCACCCAAAAAAAGACGCAGAGAACTATGTTCATTTGTGTTTACTGTTTTTTTTTTACTTACATATTTCATGTTTTTAATAAAATAAAAACGAGTCGTATCGCAGTATTTGTTGGTCTTTTTCCTCTTACTAGAGATTTGTAATCGTTCCGTGAAAGCAAAGGACACAGATTGGATGGTGACAACAAAATGAGGCAACCTTTCTTTTAATGCCCTACGTGCTATTTGTAGGTTTCATCAGAAAAAAATTCATTGCAATCAATTCAGGGAAGTTGTATTTGTCAGCAAATTCTCGAGCTTCAAAATACGTCCGTTCCTTGGAGGGTGCTCTGGAAATAAAATGGAAAATGATTAAAAAGAAACACACACAAACACACCCTTGGACCCACACTTGCTTTGGTTCCATATTCTGGTTCTTATATCAGAAAAACTCGCCAAGTGTTGCAGTAATAGTCATATTTGATGGCCAGGGCTGTTACTACAGAACGAGAAAGGAGCTGATGACATCCTATAGGATCTCTCTATATACTACTCATAAAAAATTTTAGATCACAAATCGATTTTGAACCTCTCAATTTACGTATCTCGGTTTACGATGTTCCAGACTTTCTGATATATTTCATTTTCGACGTCAAAATCTCCAAAACGTCATTTTTTGAAAAAACTGGTTATTCTTCTTCTTTGTGTATGTGAAGAATATTGTTTGAACATTTTAAGGAGTGATATTGACTCGCTCTCCTTCAAAAAAATAAAAAAGAGCGTAGACTTTTAAACACCGAAAACAAGATACGTGTTTTGAGGGTTTCAGTATTTAAATGCGATTGTAGAAATATGGAATTAGATATAACACAAATAATAACGTGCCTAAACTCTCCTGAAAATGCTAGCGCGTATAAAAGCTCGATGGTGAATTTTATTTTTAATGTGCAGTAACAATTTTTTAATACATATAACAAAAGTGACCAAATTAACTAAACCGAAACCGGTGCACATTCATGGCTTACGTATTCCAGTATTAGATAAAATGATGTGATAGAAACTTGGGAAAAGTATACAAAAACCCCACCTTTACCGATTAACAGATCTTGCGAAGGCAACCACAATAGCATGGAAATTGAAATACATTTGAAATCATTTCTGAATCTGATAGAGGGACGGCATTGGCCGTAGACTATAACATCGACGGTGTAAGTCGGCAATCACATAACTCGGTTTGCGACGTCGCAGACTTCCTGTCATACTTTATTTTTGAAACGGAAAACTACTCAACGGCAATTCTTTGAAACTGCTTTGATTTATTTTCTTCTCAGTGCGAAGAAAATTCTGCAACAACTTCAAGAAATGATGTCAATTTGTTCTCCTTTAAAAAAATAATATAGAGGCGGAGATTTTCAGACACCGCAAACGAGATACGTGATTGCGGACTAACGTCGTCGTATATATTACTATGCCTATGTATATTTTACTACGCATTTGTGAAAAAAACTCTTCTTCATGTGAATCAAGGAGAAGTGGTACATACAAAATTTTATGTAATTACTCATTTTTAAAATAATAAAATTAAGTGTAGTTCTAAAAACCCAAATATTAACAACATTGGGTCGATTTGATGATTCAGCATGGTATTTCATAAAACAATTTTGAATTGAAAAGTAATGTAAATAAGAAAAAAATAACTTACTCTTTCTTCAAATAAGGCTCAGTAAAATTGACCTCCTGCGTTGTTCGCTGTTGAAATGCGAAAAATATCATGCGGTGCGGCTCTGAAAGAAGCGAGCAAAATCATTTGAAGATTCAGAAAATTATTGAAAGAAAAATACCTGTGCAACAGAAACTGGATGAAGCTCATGATCATCAAAACAAGAGGTTTAATCGCCCTACGCGCTTATTAACGAACATTTCGCGTGGTTATTTTTTCAAATTACTCCTCAATAATAATTATGACTAAATAATAAAAAAAATAAAAATAAAAAAAAGAAGGAGAACCGTAGAGAGCCAAGCAACACACGTTACTCTCCCACTGATTGTGAGAGTTTCTCATTCTCTCTATATTTCGCCTTCAATAAAAGAGGTGGCAATATGAGCGGCTTTGGAGCACTAATAGTTGCGCACAGTATAGTTTTGTATTTTTTCTCTGTCCAAGAAAGAAAATTTGGATACCAAAGCTTCTGCGCAGGAACGGGCGATTTAATTGGGTCATCAGAGAATTAAGTGAGAAAAAATGACTTCCCCAGAAATCGTGACAAGCTTACGATTCTCGAAATAACAACTGGCAGCTTTATTATTCACAGCTTGCACTGCAGTTGAATTTGCACAAAATAAACAAGTTAATAAAATCACCTTTCCCATGTATTTCTGTTGGAGGAGAATATTCAGTTAGTGTTTGCGAAAGCTTTAAATCCCCTCCATGAATGTTTGTGACCAGCCAGTATTGCCATTCTTTTTCTTTCGGATTCTCTCGAGTCGGATAGTCTGGACCTTAAAGATCAAATTAACGAAATTTGTTATATGATGCAAAGAGGCGTAAGTACAGTTTACTAATTGTATACTTGCTACTTAAAGTTTGGGAGATAACGTATCCGTTGCTTCGAAGGAATTACACCGTTATTGCTTAGTAGCAAGTTAACTCTTAGAACGTTAACTTTATCTGATAGTTCGATGAGTAATCGCCAAATAATCAATATTTACGGGAAATTCCACAGAATTCACAAAACTTCAACATTTTTCGTCAATGCCAAAGCCAAGAGGAGAATTCTACAAAAATTCGAGGACAAAAAAAAACGACCAAAAATCTTAAACCAACATCCAAACGATTTAAGTTCGCAAATGTCTCTAATTCTAGTTTGCCGTATTAGGTCTGAAAATAACTTGATTATAATGCAATATTACTCCCTCAGAGTAAATACACGCACTGCATCTCTCATGCTTTAATTTTAAGGACACTGTGAGAGAATTTCTCATAGAAATCTCAAAATTAAAGTTTTCGACCTTGCTCAACGCGAGTCACACTGTACTGAACATTTTGCCCTCGTGAAGAGACGCCATCGTCATTTGCCTGTTGATGGTTCTAAGTATAGAAACTTTCGTGAGCTCAAGAAAAGGCCCTGATGCAGGAATGTGAACGCATTGTTCCAGAAACTTTCCTGAGCTCAAGAAAATAAGGCTCTGGGGCAGGAATGTGAACGCATTGTCCCTTTTAGACACATTTAATCAAGGTGCTAAGAGAAAGTTTCAGTCGCGTTGAAGAACTCAATTTTTCAATTAACCATACTGTGCAATATCTGATATCTTTGAGTTTATTACAGTTGGTCAAAGTCAGTGTTCAGTCTATCTTTCCTCATGTATCTAAAAGACTTACTTATTAGCATGAGTGTATACAGCAAATTTGATGAACATGGCCACTCAATCAATGTTGGCTTTTCTTTTATTTGATCTACCGTCAAAAATGTACCAAAGTCTATATAATCGTTCTTGTTATAAGCTACCTGGAAAAGCATATATATAATGAAACTAATAAGTTGTTAAAGAACACATTGTAACTCTAGAAACATATTCAGTCTAGAAGTAACTTTTTTCTTCCAGTATTCAAGCGTCATATGTTAGGATTATGCCAGCCGAAGGGCATGAGCCAAATGTCAAGCGTCTGGAGAAAAACGCATTTGAATGTTTGAAATGACGTCCCACTGTGTGAACCAATTGGTTGAACCAAAGGCAGTCCTTTTAACCTACATTTATAGTTTTTAAATTCATGAGCATTAGTTGAAAAATAACAAATAAATAACTATCGTGCTATATGCCGTTCAGTCCGCCTTTCGTCATGGTCTACGATATTCTTTAAAATAAGCTTCGGATATCGTGGTGACAAGAAGGGATGGTTAGTTTTACTTTACTCTCGCAAATTATGTTTGTAAAATGCTCGGAATTATCAGTTATTTCATATTTGTATACCACATTTTGTCATATTCCCTATCCTCCACGAAATATCAAACACATCCTTTTCATTCTGCTTAATGGCGGTAATAAGGTTAATCCGTAAATTGTAGGCTTCTTTAATCCGTAGTGGCTGACGTCTACCATCTTACGGAAGAAACTTATAAGTATAACTATTTAGAACTAGTAAAATGTACCCTGCTATAACCAGAATTCCAACTGAGAAATGGAACTTACCTTCATTTTGTGCTCAGGAGCACCACCAATGACGTCATGAATTATGCCATGCTCCTTACAAATCTTTTTAATCTCATGGTATACTCTGGGACTAATCCCTTCAGTTGTTGTAGCTGCCGCGGCATTGCTCTTCAAAATCTCAACCCCGTAAAGTATGGCGAGATACTGACAAATGTCGAGAACATGCATTCTTCCACCCGCAAAAACATCAGCCCTCACTTTAAGGTATCACCTTCTACGACACATGTCAGATCTTGCGTTCTATATTTGTTTTCGTCCAACAAAACGTAAACACCCACTTCTTTTTAAATTATCATTTTCGAGAAGAACTTCCAATCCATCATGACACGACGAGCATGACATTAATATGCAAGTCAACTGTTCGTCCCATTTACATTAATTCGTGTACCAGCGTTTATCACGGGTCTCTCACTAAAAATTATCTTTATTAGGAGTTATAGGTACATTTTGATCAATGTGATACCGCCTTGTTAATAAAAAATGCCAGGGTTGCTATTGAAATTATTCATTTTAACAACGATTTTACATATACATTAGAGCTCTCTTCTTGTCTTACTGAGATCGAAACAATTCATCTCGAATATCTTGAATAAATATAAAGATAAAGAGCTATATGCTAAGGAAAGACACGAATTTAATAATTTTTGGGCTCCAAGTGTGACAGATATCTCGTCGTCTTTCTGACATAAGGGCGTATCTCAATTTCCACGTGAGCCCTGCTCTCCGCACGACTCTATGCTTTCTAGGGCTCATGGTGAAAATAGAGAAACGCCTTGACATCAGAGGGGCAACGATTTATGGTGAAGATTTACAATTTATGAAAAAATTAGCATAAGAAAGGATTTTCAAGTGTAAAACACATAAGACTGTCATTTACTTAATCTGAAAATTCCCTTTTGTAATTCGAGTATATACCTATAGATACGTGCATGTATACTTAGTGTAACATAAATTTACTATTTACGATTATACACTTTTACTAAAGTTTGTACTGCTTTGTTGAGAAAACTTTTAGTTGATAACTGTTATCATTTTTTTTTTTTTTTTTTTTTTTTTTTTTTTTTTTTTTTTTTTTTTTTAAATCTAATTTCATCACAATCATTATGTACAGGAAAATGTTTGTTGAAAATAAAAATCGTTGAATTCAATTGTTTATATTAGCCCAAGGAGGATAACTTGAATTGTCAAATAGGTCGAAAAAATTGGCGGCCCACGGTGCACCTAAAGAGTACCTTTCGCCAAATTTTCGGGTAGAGAAGTTTTTTCGTTCGTCACCGATAATTCTGTAAGAAAAAAAAGTATAAGTATCGGATTTGAATGGAACTTTGAGTTAAACAAATAAGCGTTATTTATTACTGGTGGGAATTCAGTAAATCAATAAGGTATAATTTAGTGAGTAAATTGCCCATTAAAATTCGATTTAAGCTGAAAAGGATCTCTCGCCGCGCTGCGCTGACCGCACTGTGTTTGCCGCAATGCGTGAAGTATTCTTACGGTCTTGTAGGCGCTATGCGTTTCGAGCCTACCGCCGCGTCGCTGGCTGAACGCACTGTGTTTGACGCAATGCGTGAAGTATTCACGCAGTCTTGTAGGTGCTAATATGTGTTACACGCCGAACGCCGTACAGTGGATTGAGTCAATCAGAGAGGTCGGACGTGAAATTTTTGACAAAAACTGCAAATGTTGATGTTTATTTCGTCACATTTGAAAGTTCAAGGGGTGATACTGGAAGAAAATTTTACGAGAAAACCAATGGAACCACTTGCAGAACAGCAGGTTTTTGTATGAACGGAGTTATGAGCGTTTAAAGTTTCCAAATTTTTCCGACCTCTCTCATTGACTCGATTCACCGTGCGCCTTGCTGAGGGCTTCTCCTTGTCATCTCAAGCCTTCATCATCGTTGCTCTCTGCGCCGCCGCGCTGCTCCATGCCAAATTGCGTGTTTGGTTTCTCTCTTAACTCAACTAATTAAAGGTGCTGTCTCTTGTGTCATCGAAAGACGCTTTTCTCATTTGAATTTTTTTTTCTGAATCCTATTTTTTTCATACCTAGGTACATCTAAAAAAAATGCAAAATTTGCCGCCATGGGACGCGGCCCATGTGGCCATCCCCTTAATCCGGCCCTGCTGAACAAAATTTAAGTATGCTGAGACGACAACGTAAATAATCAATCGATTTGTGTGATTATTTTCAACTAAAAGTATTATGCGTAATGATTTATCATTTTCAATAATTGGCAGGTTCTGTAAAAATGAATTGAATTAAAAATTTTTGAAACTTGATATTCATGATTTTTCATACCTGTATCCTAACTTTTTCTCCTTGAAATTAATTTTTCTACCTCTATACTGCTTGTATATTGTGAAAATCACGCGATGTGGTCCTGCAAAATAATACATAAAATTCGTAAAAATACATGCGTAGGTTTGTAGAACTGATTGTTGTTGAATTTTAGACATATACCATTTTTACTTTCTCTAGTTTTTCTTTTCAGCCTATCACCGATGTATTATTTTGATTTCGAGAGAGGGTGGTCGAAACATATCAAAGTCTACATCTCTGTTTTTGATTTTGACTTTCCGTCGGGAGTAATTTCTTGTCAAAGCAACCGGTCCTGCTTCATCATAGCAACTCTACTTTTTCGCGAGAATTATAAGGGGTAATTTTTTCGTACTTCCAAAGCCAGTTTGAAAGTACAGAAAACAACAATCGCTCAAGTAAAGTTGCTTTCATATCGCAGGTCGTAAATTTTCCTGCGATGTTGTTTCGCGAGGAACTAATTTTTTGAAAATGTCCATTGCCTTTTTCAACAATTGATGGATGAAACTCTGACTTTTACGCTTACCAGCTCCTTGGAGAGGCCAAGGCTGAACATATGGTGCCCAATGTTCTCCATCCTCGATATTCGTTTCTAAAATGTTTCCAACCATCCAGTACAGCGCTTCACGGTCATGAGGATCGTCACTTGACGGAGCATCTAACCCTGAAAATCATTACACACTACTCAAATTTTACCAACAATTTTAGTATTGACTGGGCTCTTGACTTCATTTTTACGATAACGAGGCAGAGGAAATTTTATGACTGGCCACGGACAGAATGAGGGAACTTAGTGCCGAAAGATTCAAAATTGTACGTATTTATATTAAAAGGAACAAGAAACGTGTGTGAAAAGATGGGGTGTGTTGGTAAAAGCTGCATAAGAGACAATGTAAAAGTTGGCGCGATTCCTTTTAAGAAAATGAAAAAGTGGGATTTGACATCAAATCATATGCTTACTCATGAGCCGTGGGCACGTGACAAGAGTGTTATGGACAGGGGTCATCAGTTGACGAGTCTCGAGTGTCCTTGGAGTCTTCGTCGCTGCTGACGTCCCTCGCGCTTTATAATTCCCATAAATTTTTACGGCCTTCAACTAACGAGCATACTGTCTATGTATCTGGTTCTTTTTAGCATAAATACGTCCAACTGAGATTTAGTGCCATACTACTTACAGAGTTGTATTTTAAAATTATATTGACAACAAAATTCCATGAAATGTTAAACGAAATGGGAGTAAAATGATGGTTTGAAGTTCGCTTCTCAATAAAAGTAGTCATGAGAAAATGTTATTTGAAACGTGAATTTTCCATTTTCGGAGTCAGAATTGTCGCATTATAATTTCATATTGCATACTTTATTTGGCACAGTGGTTGAACCAAACTGTTTGAGAATCAATGTTGGGGACATTGGAGGGAGCGTTTCGTCGAGAACTCAAATCCCGATTTATATAGTTTTTTCCAGAGTCCCTTCATACTAAGAGTCAAGACAACTCCCCCACAAGGAGTCACAGACGGGAATAAAGATTACACAAATTGGCAGTTTTTCGTAATCTTCGATCTGCTCATTCTCAAATTCCTTTCTCCGTTCCTTCTCTCATTCCGTTTGTTCCTTGTCGAACCCGTTATTCCCCGGTCCATTCTACATTATAATTTGTTCAATCGGTGAAAATGTAGGTAATCTTTATTCCTGTCTGTGATACTGTGGAGGCCTAAAATACGGGAACCAATCAGAAATGGATTCACATTCTCTTGCCTCTCAGTATAAGGGGACTCTAGTTTTTTTCCGCCATATTTGATAGTGAATATATTCTGATGGCTTACGTGGCTCTTTTAAAAACCATAGATGTATTGAATTGTCGTGACCGTAGGTATTTACAGGAGCCCCAATATAAAGTAATTGATGAAACCGAATATTTAAATTCATGTCTGGCCTGAGAGGTCATATTTTCCCTGCGAATATCCAGACGCAACCATGATGATATCAGCCTCAGTACACAATGGAACAGCAGGATCAGCATTTTTTGGCATCAAAGTTCAGGAGAGAGGCTGATATTGAATAGCGGTCAGTTGGGCGAAATGAAGATGGCTGCCACGTTTCTTTCGGCATTTTTTTCGCAGCCATTTTTAATGTAAGTTAGAAGTGGTGAATTATTTGAGAAATTATAGTAAAATCATTACCTGTCATTATTAAGGTGAATCTATCTTTTTTATTATGAACCCAGTTTATGTGCGTGGGTTTTTCCTTGAGATTTTCAATCCACAAGTGATTACCATACTCCACTTGGTGATTACCAAACCATATCTAAGAAAGAAAATAAAAGAGACGCGTTAGAAATTGATTATAAATTGAGAATCGCGTCCTGATTTAGATTCTTTGACAAATTATTCATGGTATTTTGAAGTTTTAGTGAGGTCATTATGATAAAATATTTCAAGTCAGCTCTTACAACTATCGTTACTCTTGATATGCAGACGATTATATAGTGTTGACAATGTACCAGTTGCCTGCAACAGTGAAACTGGGGAACAGAAGAGGACGATAGTCGTATAACTTCCCAGTAATTTGCTGGTGAAAACAAATTTTTCGCTGTGAAATTCGACAAAGACCATAGATTCCAAAATACATTCAATTCTAAATCTGCACGACGCATTGAATGCTATTTGTATCCCTCGCAACATTAAAATACTGCTGATATAAATAAACAAAAGTTTTAATAAGTAAGCTGTGAACCTCGAAACCGTAGTCTGGAGCCTTAGTGTAAGCATCTGGAACGACGAAAGCCTTTTTTATAGACCCATGAATGAATTTTTGGGGTACAAGGCCAGATTGCACTACCGAAAATATGCTCACAATGAGCAAAAAAAGTCGCTTTAAATATGGAGTCATTAGAAGAACTACATCAATCATCGGTAGATATAACGTATTGCATTGCCTATGGCTCTGATGATTGTAAGTGCACCATCTCGAACAGTTTCCAAAATCCTTGTTTCATAAAGATAGACCGGCATAATTATGGTTGTCAGGTTAAATGGCAAATCGCATTATATTGAAACACTACTTGATTGATTATGACAATAATTTATTAATATTTCAAATAAGCACAAAAAACTGCGAAGCCTATTATAAGAGCCTTCAACAGGAATGACATTGTAAGAATTGAGCAAAATGAAATATCTGGGGATTGCAAATTTAACTTTTGCCAAAACTAAGAGAAGTTTCAAATTGTCGATGACATCTCGCGGTTCACATGTGACTGGACCTCAGCAATGAAAAAAGGATCTGATAATTTACCGATGCTCGTGTAAACAATTTTTCACTCTATGATGAAAATGATAAAACGATAAGGTGTTGTGTAAGAGTTCCTTTCAAACATATGCGCGCAGAAAAGGGAAAAAAGAAGAGGGCGTGACCGTTCCTCTTGCCTGCTATAGTCTTAAAGTAATCACTAGCAATAAAAATTACTATGCACACACATATTAGACAGTAATAGTTCTCAGGGGTAGGCGTCGCAGAGCGCCCTAGCGCGCCGTAAAAGCGGCTTATACATACATATAGTTCTCAGGGGAAGGGATGACAAAAAACTGAAACCCAAGTTATCTCGTGCAAGATACCTTGTAAAAATGATTGTTCCTCCCAACATTCAGAGAGCAAAAATACTCGAATATGTCAAATTAAACCTGGGTTGAAATTTAATGTCTCCAGTTTATAAGACATAGTGTTTCTAGGGAGCTATTTAGATTTTCCTTTGCTGTTCGAGGTTTAACATGTCAGATTTCACCCACACAATCAACTTTATAAAGACGATAGTGAAGGGATTCTCAAAATTCAATTTCAATTATTTAGGTAAAAGTCAATCAAGGCAGAATTATTATTATTATTATTATTATTATTTTTTGTATGAGGTGATGGTGACGATTCGGAACCCGAGAACAAAACCTCTGTACTCGAAAAGCGAATTTTAATTAATGTTCCGAACCTCTTTGGGGAGTTCTGTCCCGTTTCGTCTCATCAATCACCAACACCAGTGGACTCCGTTGTCACCAGATTCGATAAATAAGATACGATGGTTTTCGAAAGGTCGAACCTTTTTCAGAACCACCTCGCTAGGTGCTACCAAAATCACGCACCAACCTTGCGATTCGTTGGTCGTCAAATCGAGAGTTCCGAACTCAAATAGAATGACAGCTCGGAGGTACGGGCACAAAAGTAGTACCGAATCTCCGAATAAAATTCGCTTGAGCACTGCCCATTACTGGCGCGGCTATTGCTTCCATTGGCGCCGCACGCGCGCCAGCACAGCCGCACACAGCGCACCAATCTCGCGCGCGCTCGTGGCTCGGGATTGGTGCGCTGTGTGCGGCTGTGCTGGCGCGGGCGCCAATAGAGGCAGATACACAGAGAGACTCTACGTTGCTATCTCGACAATGGAGAAAGTTTTTATTTTCGGGACTTAACATTCAACTGTTGAACTTCCTACTAGGTGGATGATTAAAGTGTTGAGAATTTCTTTTTGTAAACAAACCGAAGTTTGAGTGACTTGTTTGGCTCCAAGCTCATCATAAACCCAGTA